TTTGTACTTAGATCATTACTTGACTCAGCCATTTAGGGTTTGGTTGGGGGGGAGGGATCATTCTACTTACATCATTACTTGACTCAGCCATTTAGGGTTTCGTTGGGGGGAGGGAACATTGAACTTAGATCATTACTTGGCTCAGCCATTTAGGGTTTGGTTGGGGGGGAGGGATCATTCTACTTACATCATTACTTTAGCAGTTGAGATGGAGAGATAGAGAGATAAAGAGATAGAAAGAGAGAGAGAGAGAGACAGAGAGAGAGAGAGAGAGTCAACATGTACAAAACACACCATGTTCGGACCGTTTTTAGAAGTTGAGGTAAAGAGATACAGCGATAACAAGATAGAAAGGGAGAGCGAGAGAGATAGATAGATAGATAGATAGATAGAGAGAGATAGAGAGAGAGAGAGAGAGATAGATAGATAGATAGATAGATTAGATTAGATTAGATTAGATTAGATTAGATTAGATTAGATTAGATTAGATAGATAGATAGATAGATAAGATAAGATAAGATAAGATAAGATAAAAATAAGTTAAGATAAGATAAGATAACATGAGATAAGATGAGATAAGATAAGATAAGATAACAAGATAGAGAGATCGAGATAGATAGATAGATAGATAGATAGATAGATAGATAGATAGATAGATAGATAGATAGATAGATAGATAGAGAGATAGAGAGATAGATAGATAGAGATAGATAGATAGATAGAGATAGATAGAAAGATAGATAGATAGATAGATACATAGATAGATAGATAGATAGATAGATAAGATAAGATAAGATAAGATGAGATAAGATAAGATAACAAGATAGATAGAGAGAGAGATAGAGATAGATTGATTGATTGATTGATTGATAGATAGATAGATAGATAGATAGATAGATAGATTGATAATTAGATAGGTAGATAGATAGATAGATACATAGATAGATAGATAGATAGATAAATAAATGACATGTAGCTTCGAAGCCCTTAAACGAAGCTTTTCTGCGAGACTTCCTTCAAAAATGAAGCTTCGAAACTCAAACACAAAAACTTTTCTCCGAGACTTCTTTCAAAAATGAAGCTTCGAAGCTCTAAAACGAAGCTTTTCTACGAGACTTCCGTCAAAACTGAAGCTTCCAAACTCAAAAACCTAGCTTCAAAGCCATTAAACGAAGCTTTTCTGGGAGACTTCCTTCAAAAATGAAGCTTCGAGAAGCTTTTCTGCGAGACTTCCTCCAAAAATGAAGCTTCGAAGCTCTAAAACGACGCTTTTCTGCGAGACTTCCTTCAAAAATGAAGCTTCGAAGCTCTAAAACGACGCTTTTCTGCGAGACTTCCTTCAAAAATGATGCTTCGAAGCTCTACAACGAAGCTTTTCTGCGAGACTTCCTTCAAAAATGAAGCTGCGAAACTCAAAAACGAAGCTTTTCTGCGAGACTTCCTTCAAAAATGAAGCTACGAAACTCAAAAACGAAGCTTTTCTGCGAGACTTCCTCCAAAAATCATGCTTCGGGCACGAATAGGGTCACAGGCGACCACAAAGGGGCCGCACCATTTTCGTGTGGCAGGTGTGGGACTTCGAGCACACCTGGTCACTTGTGACCCTATCTTTTTTACTTCAAAACGTAGAAACAGTGATTAGGGTCACAAGCGACCAATGTCCCAAGAGTGCAGTGTGAAGAGTGAAGTCTGAAGTGTGGAGTGTGAAGTGTGAAGTGTGGAGTGTGAAGAAAGCAGTGAGAAGTGTGAAGTGTGAAGAAAGCAGTGAGAAGTGTGAAGTGTGGAGTGTGCAGTGTGAAGTGTGGAGTCTTAGGAGTGCAGTGTGAAGTGAAGTGTGGAGTGCGAAGAGTGCAGTGTGAAGTGTGAAGCGTGGAGTGTGAAGTGTGAAGTTTTGAGTGTGAAGAGTGCAGTGAGAAGTGTGAAGTGCGAAGTGGAGCTTCAAATGTGACATGTGAAACAGGACACAACTTTCGCAGAATGCACGCACGCACGGGCCTGGCTGGCGCACGGCGCATGCAAGTTCTATAGATGAGACAGGTCTTATAGTATATCCCTAAGGCAACTTCCGCCCCGCCTCGTGCGGGTACTACTGGTACACTATGACTATATATTAATAAACCATGATATTGCAATTATATACTGTATTACTATGTGAATAGATTAAATAATAAAAATCTACATAAGCCATTATTGGGCCATGGGTTTTAAGTGACCCTTGAACGCTCTGAAAGTTTCCTCATGCCTTGAGTATTGGGAACTCAGTTTGGTAAAGAACAACCTGCATTTGAATCACCAACCAGCGAAATCTGTAGAGTGCCCAAGTGTGAGTGCGTGTGTGTGTGTGTGTGCACCAAACTACCACATTAATCTAGCATCATCTCGGATTTGCACATCCCAAACATGTTGCAAGCGGACATCATAATGATGCCCAAGCAAGCCCATTTACCTAACCATAAGCAGGAAACAAGTGTGAAATTAACTCTTAAGACTCTTAAGTGTAGACCTCAAATTGAATAGATCCAAGATATCAGGCTTTCGGATGCTTTTCTTTCGGGGTCTTGGTTCATCGCTCCAGCTCCAGGTCCGCCTGCAAGATCAGGGAACGTGCAGTGAGGATGTGCATGCAGCACAACATGTAGTTCCTTGAGCCGATGCTGAAGCAACAGATTGTGGCATGGAATGGCATGGATCACCCGGAAAAACTCTGGGACCCTGGTGAGTCCTTGTGACCAAAGAAATGTGGCCAGAAACGGCCAGAGATTGTTTTTGGGTGTATTTGGGAGTGTCATTTACCCTCCACCAATCAAACATGGTTTGCTGGAAAAATCCAACTATAATCATGTATCATGTATACATATGTACGCGTGTTTTTCCCAGCTTTGTAGGGGATTTCACTACGTATGTTTGATTGCCAGAGGGTGTAGAACTTCGGGTCCTGTAGTCTTGAACCATTCCCATATCACTCGCACTAGCAGTGCTCGAATTTATCCCCACACTGACTGAGGAGTACCATGGAGTTTTGCTCTTTTTGTTGGGGGTAAACCGTTCTGGTTCCTGGATTCAACCCATTCCCAAAAAGGACAATGATAGATATATATATATATATAGATATACACATATAAATTATACATATATATATATATTACAGAAAACAATACAACATCATAAAACTACAGTATGTTGAAGTCTACAACTTGAAACCGCCAAGCTCATTTTTCCATTCGGCCATCCCCACCTGGGTTTCAAATCGAGGTCATTCCACTGGTTCCACCGGTTTCTTATTGTATCATACCCTCTGGTCATCAAACCTACCCTCTGGTAATTTAAGATAGCTATCGAAAATGGCCATAGAAATAGTGGATTTACCCATTGAAAATGGTGATTTTCCATAGTTATGTTAGTTCACCAGAGGGTATCAACAATTTGTGACAATCCCCCATCAATCCCCCCACTTTGGTCATTCACTTCCCCGCAAAACTTCGGTGTTTTCACCTCAGTGTCACCTCAGATGACCAAGGGGAATCCCATAGTGTGACCTATCCCAACGCTTCGCAGGCGCATCCGAGTAACAACGCTTCGTCAGTAATTCGATACTCTTCATCATAGCCTGGGACCGGGCCTATTGAGCCTACTGACTCCACCTCTGCAGCATTTTCGATGCAAAAAATTAGATGAAAATAGCCAAGTATGCCCAAGTATTGCAGGCAAACCACCATTCTTTCAAGTTGAATAATTGACTAAGCTAGGCCAGGACAGTGGCAAAAAGAGTCGGCTCCCTTACGGGACTGCCTTACCCTTTACTCTTGTATACAGCACAGTGCAATCTTTGGTCGGGGTTATACCGATCATACCACCTCGGAGCTTGGATGACTATCCACGTTGCATTCCGTGATGCCCACCATGACCTTCATCATTCCCGTCAAGATCAATGGTAAGCAACGACAAATTTCCATGAATGATACTGATAAAGCATTCAGCAACAAATCATCGTTTTCAACATCAACCCTCAGCTCCGTCATCCCCTTTTCCAACATCCACTGGACCCACTCGAGCAGCACTCGCCAAGAGACAGAACTGATAGAGGAAAGCCTCGCGACGCTGCTCCACCGTGTCGTTGGCGCGAAAGCCAACAGGGATATTGGCAGAGAACCTGCGATGCTGGCACCATGGGCGCCACTGCTATGGAGATTTACCCTGCTGGAAACAAACTGATATGGAAAGAACCATGGTTTAGGAAATCGGACATAAATGATGGAATTACCATCTTAGTTAAGAGTAGGGTAACAAGTAACTAGAAAGGAAACAACCTACCTGGGTTTCCCAAGAAACGGAAGATTTGAAGAGCAAAAAATATGTGGGTATATGATGGTATATGTGGGTATACAATTCAGCAGCATAATATATATAATATACTTCAGCTACAAAAAATGCGGTGAGACCATATTCTACACATGCTGCCTTGAGGGATTTAAACCCCAACGTTCTGGTGGCAAAAACAGCATGCGGGCTATGGAATATAAATGCATACAATGGGCATGCAATGGGGATATACAACCATCAACATGAGGGGACTATCTGAAAATGACGTACTTACCCTCCTGCTTGCCATCTATTCCTTAATAATTCTTGAAATTTCGGGGATTGTGGGAAAACACTTCTTCACCCAAGACCATCTGGGTCGGTTTGTGACGCCGAGGCGCCAATTGGTAATCTTCTCTCGTAGTGCTTGGGTGCCTGCAAAGGGAACTGTCGGATTTGGAAGGTACATCACCCAAATTGATCCAATTGAAGAACAAGAAAAGGAATAGGGAAAATAACCTGCTAGAGATTCGGACAAACCCCCGATTCTGTTCTTTTAGTTGCGAGAGAAGCAACATGAAGAAAACATGGGAAATCGCACTACGTCAATTCATGAACTCTGACTATAAATTGGGGAGGGGGCAAAATATACAGTAATCACATAATAAATCATTGTTAACATTTGTCCCCCTATTATTGATATTATTGACCTGAGATCGACATATATGTATTAGTCCTGACGGTAAAGTATTATATGATATTCATATAATATAATCTAATGTAACATAAAATAAGATGATATAATATTATGTCAAATAATATAATATAACAAAATATAATATAACATAATAAAATATAACATAATGAAGCATAATAAAATATAGCATAACAAAATATAATATTATAGTATTACATAATATAATATAATACCATATAGTATGGTATAATATTATAAAATGATAAACCACACGATAGCATAGCAAATTTTAACATAATATAATGATAAACTACAATATAGCATTTAAAAAATAATATGATATGATGATAAACTACAATATAGTCAAATATAATATAAAAAAATAAAATATAATATAATAATTTAATATAATATAATAGAATATTATATAATAGTAAAGCAAATAATAACATATAATGCAATAAAAAAGAATATAATATAATATAGTATAATAAAATATAAGAAAGAAAAACCATAATAGAGCAAAATAAAATATAATTTAACATACTATAGTATTAAATAGTAGAAAAAAATGTTCTATATTATCATATTATTTTAGTTAATACATACTAACATTCTCAATATTACATATATATATGATTATATATGTATTATGAATTATGTATATATATATACAGTATATATATCACTGCTAAAAAGTCATTTTTGTTTAAGCACCTGGACAGTTTCAAGCCCACCTGAGCTTTGGCTCTCAAAGACCTCCTCTCGGATGGTCTGCCGTAGCCGCGCTGGCACGTAGTCCTCAAGATACCCGACTAAGGTGGTGGCCCTGCAAATGACTAAGGTATTATTGGCAATATTGGATAATCATTAATGATGGTGAATGATGGTTAATGATGGATATCTATCATCAGAATCATCAGCCCTAGTTGACTTATAGGTATAAATATACCATCATATTTACCATGATTATATGATTAATGATGGTGATTGATGGTCAATGATGGATAATGATCGATAATAGTCCATCAATGGCTTGTTGATCCATGATCCATTGTTATCAACCAGGTACACCATCATTAACCATGGTACATATGATGGTGTATTTACAGTATACCTATAAGTCAACTAGGGCTGATGATAGATATTCATCGAATTCGTTATAACTAGTTGATCTTCGAAGTTCGAGGAAACATAGCTGGGGCACCACCAACGGTGCAAAAGAACATCGAACCTATTAAGCTCGATAGTATACTTTCAACCGGATATGTTAATGGCAAAAACTAACACTCGACAAATAAAGCAGCTCCACAGCTCATCTCTTCAAGTGAAACAAACTCTGCCAAGAAAACACGCTCAACCACGGTTTACCCAGTCTTAAGGAAGTTTGGATTTCCCTCAGATAGAAAAAAACAGGTCATGTTTAGCAGACTATGAACACTAATAAAAACCGTGTGTTTTTTGTTCTCATTTACAGCTAGAAATGTCTATAAGCGGCCTGTTGGAAACTGTGAGTCGGTCTTCATCACTGCCGTTGCGATGTTTGGTGCCAAAAATGAAATTTCTTATGCATGGTGCCTGATACCCTCTGGTAATTTGACGGTTCGCTATTGAAAAGGGCACATTGAATAGTTGTTTTACCTATAAAAGGTTGTGTTTTCCATATTTTTGTAGGTTTACCAGAGGGTTTGCATTGGTACAGTACCAGCCCCTCGCCTGGCTGGACCTTTGCGCCATTGAAAGTTGGATTAGTGAAAATGGAAGCCATGACCATCCCCTATGGCTAATGCGCTATAGATAGAATCATATACAAATCCAACCTTTGACCATGGCATATATGATTTCTATTGATTTCTTATCTTGGGAAATCCATGAGCACAACCTTGGGGTACATAGAATGCATCAGTTTATGATGTCTATCTCCTTTGGGCAGCCATGGAATCACAACGAAACCCAAGAATACCACTGGCTTTGTGCTAGCAAAATGTTCGTCACGCCACCGTACACTGCTAGTTCAGAGCATTCACTTTGTTCACACTTATATATTTTTGAGATGGATCGTAGAGCTTTCGGCTCAACTCCTACCAGTGGTAGAGCTGTTCAGCAGAAGGTTGAGGGTCGGTTCAATCATGGCGTGAACTTCTTCGATGCCTTCTGCCATCAGGATGGCGTTAGCCTTTTCGTTTGGACGCAGCAGCTGCATCATATAATGACAAGTTGTGCTCAGAGCACTTTCACCTTTTTGTCTGCAACGTTATGCAATGCTTTGCTGCTTGAGTCTGTTCCTGCGACGGTCTTTGTAGAACACAAACCCCTCGGAGCAGCTTGTTCAAACTCCATGCCTGGTACAGCTGGCACCGTACAGCCACTAGACTGGACCTTCACCTGGAATGCTATTTGTGCCGAACAAGTTTGGAGTTGAATACGTCACGAGAGCCGGAGCCTGGCCCTTACTGCATGCAAGCTGGTCCTGTTTTGAGGAACTTTGCGGGAGAGCATTTTCCACTGCTTACGTCACGTCCTTGCGTCTTCAATCTGTTAGTGGTTCTGCGGTTTGGATTCAGACATGACGGGCGCCATGCCCACATTCTGACACTACAAGGTTTTGACCATCATTTCAGTGGATCAGTGCACCAGTTTGTTTGTGCTTGCAGCCAGCAAAGTTCTATGGCTTCACTGAGTTCTCGCTCAAGTGTTGGATACGCTGAAAGTTTGCAACCCTTTCGTACACAAATTGTCCTGGCCGTCTGGCAGCACTTTGGCAATCACTTATCATGTCCATGTGCCACATGCGCACCGCCATGGCATGAACCGTTACCGAAGTCCACGCGTGAGATGGATCGTGGATGGTGCCTTGTTTTGTGTGGGTCCATGCCAAACCCCAAACGCCCAAAGGATGCCCATCAGTGGTTGGAGTTTAGCTTACCACCACTGCTTCCTTGAAGAGCTTGGCTTGAAGAGCATCAGGCCTGCAATACCCAGGTCAGGACCACCGACCCCTGGGCCTCTCTGGGGCAATGTTGTTGGGTGATTCTTCAGCACGTCTATACGTCTCATGCGTTGTTGTCCAAAAGAAAACTTATATATGGGATTAATTACAGTATACGATTTTGTTCAGTGAAGCTGTTGCCAGCATCTATAGATGACATTGACCTTTCCAGCACTGCTTGGTCCAGCTTTCTGGAATATCTTGGTCCGCCCTCTCGGCATTTAAGGTTCAGTTCCAACCATTCCCCAAACCAATACTGGAATGTCTGGGATGCACGAGCCAGGCTTTTGGGGTACATTCTCAGACAAATCCAAATTTGAGTGAGATCTAATTTAAAGCTCAAGGAAACAGAGATCCATGGTCATTTTGACATATGTTGATCAAATCATACCAAATTTGGGGGTAAGTTGGACCTCCCCCGTTTCTTTTCCCATGCCCTGCCAGGTCTGCCCGCCTCACGCGACTCTCCAGCTGCAGATAGGTCAGGCGATGCGGATCGCGGCGCGCGGTGAGCTGCTCGGCCAGGCCGAAGTGGAGACCTGAAAATCCGCTGCTCGTTCCATGGAGGATTTCATGGGAAAAATGGAGCATGTTTTTTTTCGGATGTTTATCGAATCTAATGGAATAGTCATTGGATTTTTGATACGATTTTGATGGGATTTCATGGAAAATTGCACATTTGCGAATGATTTACCTATTAAAAGTGGTGATTTTCCATGGCCATGTTTCATTATCAGTGGGCAATGAGATACTCATGGGATTTTCAAGTCATCTTATATACTGGTTTGTAATAAACCAACTATATTATAGACTATATACTAATCATTAATCCCATCCCCCGAAATTTAGATACCCCAATTAGAAACCATGATTTAAAAAGGGGATGAACCATGATGGTTAACCAAATTAATTGGGGATCATAGGATGAGGGATGGGATTGCCAAAATAGGTATCCGCTGGAAATTTCAAATCGCTATGGCAATGGGAAATGGCCATAGGTGTTTTCTAGAGTTTTGTCTAGATGATTTGCCATGATTTACCATGAATTACTATTGAAAGATGGTGATTTGCCAGTTCGCTATGTTAAATTACCAGAGGGCAATGTAATGTTTATTGATCAAAATAAAACGATGGACTTATTAGACTTCTGAAAAATGGGCTTCACCAACCACAAAATCAAAATATTGAATTGGACTCACAAGAATGGATACAGAATGTTGCTTGCAGTTACTGGCGGTTCACCAGCAAAATTAAGAATTGTAACGTGGATGTTGCTCCCAAGTTCCGGACATGCCAACCACCCGACCCCTTTTGCTCCCCAGGAACTCGCGTAGAAGTGACTCTCAAAGTGCATGTCCGCCGTTTCATTGGCTCCCTGGATGCAGAGATGTGGTCGCCGAAACATTGGAACAGTGGAACCATAGTTTGATTTACCATAGTTGATGTGTTGCAATTACTGTAGTCTGGAAAACTTACATTCAATACGAATGCACAAGAAGTACAACACTCAATAGAATGAAGCCTGGTTTGGATGGTTTGTAGGTCAATTGACACTCATACCCCGGTGCTCTTAACAAGCCAACAGAAAACATCTTGAATGAGACAATATAACAGCCGCAAGATGAATCTACAACAAACCAATATAACAGCCTTTCGGCCATTCAACTTGTGGTTTACCAATAACTTTCATGCTTCATATGCCGTCTAAACCCAACCTTTCAGTCCCATATGGTCTGTTTGAACTCTTCTCTGTTTGGCCATTTGTTGCTCAACATACCCTCTGGTAATTTAACATAGCTATTGAAAATGACCATTAATAGTGGATTTTCCCATTAAAAATGGTGATTTTCCATAGTTGTGTAAACGTTTACCAGAGGGTATTCAACGTCCATTTTCGATTGACCCAGGTTGTGAGCTGTGCCACCGTCCCGGAGATCTCACCTTGCTGTGATGGAGAACGCTTTCGGCCATCTGCCGCCGCTTCCGATAAAGCACCCGCAAGACTTCGTCCTGACTCGGCATCGACGAATCGACGTGGACGGCTGATGCGACATAGCCAGAGATTAAGATGCTGTGAACATAGCATTTGGGGGATGGTTTATACAACCCATTTATGGATATTTATGGTGATATTGGGCATGATTTATTGTTGGGTTGACCCGAAACATGGCTTTGGGTCGGCAAGAATAGCGATGGTCTTGTACAAGCAACTAGACTGGATAAGAGCCACTCAAGTCCATCACGAAACTCCCTCAAGTTCTCAAGTACCCAACTATCTCAACAAAAGGTGCAATGAGGTCTGCTTTCCAGGGCTACTCCGGCAAATCCACTTATGAATCTCCAAGGCACGTATGGCCATATGTTGGTTTATGTTGTCAGACATCTTACGATAACACTCCAAATTCATCCAAAATATATTGCTTAGAATTACAATGGTTAGTAAAATTATTTCTGGTTTATCCTCCAGTAAACTAACATAGCTATTGAAAAAATACCCATTTATTGTTGATTTACCTATGAAACATGCTGATTTCCATAGCTTTCAATGTTTACCCAGCCGCGTGTATCATGCAGTTAGGAACTCCAGTCGTAGCTCATGGGGAATCTGGATGCACCTCCGCTCCAGCTCCCTCCTAGCTAATTATGGCTCATTCCAGGAAGATAGCCTTGCAACCCCAAAATTTGGCGCTCAATGTTATTTGGAGGAAGGGAATACGGTATCCCATCAGATCCACATATTATCCCCATCAAACTATTGACAAAGACAAGGCATTGATTAAATCCCAGTTTTTGATGTTTAAACCATTATTTCCCCACGTTTGATGGTTGAATCCAATTAAGTCCCATTTCTAACAGCGTTTTTTCTGATTAAATGTCCATGTTTGACAGTGCCATCTTATGAAAAACATCATTTTTAGTTGAATGCCCCGTTTTTTAGGTTTCTTCAACCCATCGGTGGCCCATGGTGGCCCCTCAAAATTACCCCCCGTTTGACGCACCTCCGCATCAAGTGCTCCTTCACCGCTGGTCTCACCGGTGACCTGGGTGGGGGGGTATAACTCGGTATCATCGCCAAAAATAACACGTGGTTTTTTACCAAATTTACCATAGATTTACCATATATGCTATGGTGATCTTCCAATAGCTATATCAAACATGGAAATTGGCAGAGAAATTCCATCTATAAATCGGGGCGTAGCTGTAGAAAATCACCCATTTTATAGTGAAATCATCGAACTAAACGCTGGACAACTTGCATCCCGACACGGCCGGTTACTATCTGGTAATCGTTTCGCGTCGGAAAGGAATCTTCGTTGCCTGTGACAGGCTTTTCCCAACATGATAGCCATTATATTTTTCCGACGACGCAAAACCCAAGGATATTCCTGCTGTAGAAACACGCTAGTGCGCGCAGACGCTGAGATGTGCACCACACTGTGCAACTAAAGGCTGACTTGCGCAAAGAACAGTCGGTACGTTGCCGGCTGGCCGGGTGGCTACTACTGGCTGCCTGGCTAGTGGCTGGCTCTTTGCTTCGCTGCGGTCTCTGGGGCGTGGTATCTGGCTGCCTCGCTGCAGGATCGCCGGGCTGGGCTTGGTTTTTGGCTGGCCGGCCGGCTGGCTGTCTGGTTGCTTAGCTTAGCTCTTGATCGGCCGGCTGGCTGGCTGGCTGCCGCTGTGGCTTGCTGGCTGGCTGCAACTGTGGCTTGGCTGGCTGGCTGCCACAGTGGGCCGCACTTTGAATTAACATGAATTAATCCATACAAATCCGAATTAAACCTAAATGAAGATTTTGCCAACAATTTTATGATGATTGGTCCGGTGTCAGTTCAATCTATTTTCAAATACTTCACCAAGTTGAAAGAAAGGAGGCCATGAATGAGGAAGGATTTGCATAGTGGACTATGATTCATGATCATCGCCAAGTTGAGGGTCTACAACCAGTATTGTCCAGACAAAATCATCAACCAATTAGAGTGCTTGAAACTGCTGAAATTCTATGGTTGATTCAATCTGGCTGAATTACAAATAATTCACCAACCTGATAAAATGGATGTTTCACTGCTAACCACATGTTCAATGACGATGTAGTGAGGTCGTTATAAAGCCAGATGGTTGATTCAATGCATTCGTTGAAGGTAAAATATACAACAAACATGTGTTTCCATTGTTTCCATCAAGTATATCAAGTATATATGATGGTTTCCTCACAATTTTTCATTGAACCAATTCTGGTATTTATCTTAGATACCCTACAAAACAAACGAATGTGTACATATATATATATATATGTCCTTTACCAAAACGACGATATATATATATATATAAACTGCTGAACTGAACTGGCATCTATCAAGGTAACATCGTGATCCCAGAAAAAGTGAGCATCTAACCCTTGGAAGGTGGCTGGTAAATGGTCAAAGATGGCTACTAGTCAATGTCATGAAACACTCCCCATTACCATGAAATAATCGGTTCTCCTCTTTTGTGGATTTATAACAAAGGTATCAGGTTTTTACATGTTCCCCCAAACCCCATCTTCGCCCATGCTCATCATATCTCATTTATGTATGTGTATGTATATATATATATACTGTATATGTATATTTATATATGTGCTCCAGGAACGAAAACACCGGCTATTATATACAGCAATCTTGACTCTAGGCTTTCAGGATTTAAGGTTCTAGGATTTAGGGATTTAGAGATTTAGGGTTTGTTGTTGAAAAAATGTTAGCCCTACACAGGGATTTGAGTATTTCAAAGGATATGCAGACAACGGGCAAAGGTAGGGGGTTGTAGCGATGGATCAATTGGTCTCTTCTCCTCTTTTTTGGGATTGTCGCAAGGGCATCACACTTTCGCATGGTTTACCCTTTGCTCATCTGATAAAGGTCGAACCCTAAATCACAACCAAAATCAAATGACCCCACACCAGCCTGCTGTCATGTCCACTCAATCATTGATCTTTTTTTCTAGTTATCATTCTACATGCATCCAGTGGTTTGCTAAAATCACATATGTATGGGTGTCTATGCATATATGTATACACCACCGGTAAATATATATATATATAATTATAATTATATGTATTATGTATATTCATAATGTGTATATATATATATACATATCATTACATATCTATCTATTATACATGTCATATACAGTACGAATGCTGTGGTATCTCACTATTGATATCCACTATATATATATACCCATGCCATCAATATGTTTCGCATACCATCTGAGCCTTGAGCCATGAAAAATACCCATCCCATCTCATACCAGTTGGTTTATAGGTTTCTCTACTATGGGTTAGCTAGTATAGGATAGTATAGCTATTGATAATTATATAATCATTAATCAACCAGGGTATAACTTTCATGCCTCGTTTAGGATGGGAGAAACCTCCAGGATGTCCAAGGTACAAGGTCGTGCATATTGTGAATCTCTCTTTCCCAGCGATAGATGCCTAGGGCCCAGTGCCGTTTTCAGGTAAACGACAGCTCTTCAAGGGAGCGCTATACACTAAGTTTCGGAGAATGTTTGCTCTCTCTACAGTCTATCTTTGTTCATAAGACATAATAAGACTCACAGTGAGGCGAATTATACACTAGAGGTTCAAACCTTCTAAAACAAATGACTGGGAGAATTAAAGATCACTAGGTCTAACATGGAACAATGAATACGTACAATTGATAAAACATCAAACATAGTTTCGGCATGAAGTCTTGCAACATGGCACAATTCAAACTGACAAACAAACAAACAAAAATCTATCAGTTTCGAATCTTCTAGATTCTAGATCCAAATGACAGCATGCTCATATAGTTTCTCGAAGTTAATCAGCTAGCAAACCTCACCTCCCATCCAACTGCAAATATACCCATCGTAACTCCAAGTCTTAGATATAAACAACTTGCCTAAGATAACCCTGGTTTATACATATCAACCTAGGATAAATTCCACTTGGCTTATAGATATAACCAATATGATATAACTATGTATATATATATATATATTATATAAGTAACCTTGGTTGAAGTGCAATTTGTGCAACAAATCCCTGTTTTTCGAATTGATACATACCCGAGGGACAATCCTCCACACAGTCCGCGTACTGCCTCGGCGTCTCGGTTTCGATGACTCGAAGATTTGGGGATGAGCATCCACTGGATCAGTCATCATTTTCTTGAAAGGTGGACACCACTGTGATGAAACAAGATTAAATTGACTAACGAACTACCAAGATTGAAAGGTGGCCTTTCTGAACGATGAATCCTGGTGTCTCAAATTTAATGCTGGCATTCCCAAAATTATCCCAAATCTTAAAAATAAAAATCCATATTCCTGGCCCAAAAGCATTCGCCAAATCTTCCCAACAGTTTTAAGTGTTCTTTCAAATCTTGCCAAAAAAAAACATCTCCATTTTTTTCCAAAAAATCATCCAAATGACCCCCATCCTTCTGACCCACCAATTCAGATTCAGCCATAGCGACTGGAGCACTGCCGCAAGCAACTCGCCCTTGTTCTCGCCCTCCAGGGCATCAAAGGTGCGATGTACAACCGAGGCAAGCTCTGCGTAGCGGGCAGACCTGTACCGGTCAGTGGAACATCACTTTTTCCCAACTAAGAAGTCGTGATTTCACCGTGATTATTGCGGAAATCTGAATTTTGATGATTTCAGGATATATTTGGATAGCCTACTATGTCCAATCTTTGTTGGCTAAACCCAACTTTAGATGGTTGAAACCCTATTCTGCAGGTAAATGTTCCATTTGTTGTCATTTCAATGCCATTGTTTACCATATGTTTGATCCTCAACCCGTAATGTTTGTCCCTTTGAACCCCCTATACTTAATAGTTTAAGCCTCTTTTGTGTATATTTCTTGTGTCTTTTTGTTGCCTTGTTGAATACAAAGCTTTGCAAACGCCCACCTTTTGAAACCACCGTCCCATCCCATCCCATCCCATCCCCACCTCTCCTGCGCCTGTGCTGGTGCACCCACGGCCGTTTCGTTGCGCTGTAGCTTGGCCAGCAATTTCTCCGCCGCGTCTTTGACGCGCGGCGCCGGCACCAGCTTCGTTGAGGCGAGCAGCGACTTCAAACCTTGGCCCGCTCAGGAAAAAAGAACATGTTTTCTTTGGGGGAAAATCTGCATGGGGTCTCAAAATAAGGGTTGCATAGAATTAAATACATAATAATAAATATATAATGTATCATTGCTCTGTCTGATGGAATTGCTACATTTGAATAAACGTGTTCATTAATGGGAATTGGGGTGTCCTCTTCTGGAAGTCCAAGTGCTTTTTTTGGATTGTCCTATTTTGAGCTTCGATACTCCTGGAAATTCATCATGGTAATAAGCGGGTCCAGTACTAGCCAGTCACTACACATAGGTCCTAACTTCTTGGATCATCCCCAAGTCTAAAGCTTCCCTCAAAATAAGTGATCTAGTTGCTGGTTGAGCCATCCAATTCTTAAATCTTTAAGAATCAAATTATCATCGCAAGTAGAAAGCAAACCATCACCATGTTCGAAACCACCAGCCACTTGATGTGCCCTATGGATACGCATGCATGCGATACAAATCACCACGGGATACATAGATATCCCCGTGCATCCCCATTCTTTCCTTATCACCCTCCTGCAATTTAACATAGCTATGGAAAATCATCACTTTTGATCCCCTTGTGAATTAAGTGAAAGTGTTGGCGTGAGCAATTTTATAGTGATAAATGATAAACCTGGAGACGTTGACCCTCTTTTTGAAAATGCATCTATAGAATCAGAGACGCCAGGGTATTTTGAAGTTGACAATCTCTATAGAATTGCTGTCATTGAGGTTGTTTATGAGCATCATTTTCTATAGAATAGCTGACACAAAGTCACTCTCCAATCAGGCCTTTTTTAGGTTGGGGGGGTTAGTTGGCCTTCTATAAAATCAGATTCCCCAAGTCTCATTCATTGACAGCTGACCTGAATACTCCAGTTGCTCCAGGACTCCAGGTTTTCAATGTCAACCTGTTTTCAACATGAAATCTCTATAGAATCGCTGACACCAAGGTCCTCTATAAAATTGCAAACCTTGACACTGGGTATGTACCCTTAAACAAAGGAGGGCCCTAAAACGCACCATCTTCCCAAGCTTAACTGTTGCGATTTTGTAGAAGAAAATGCAAGGAGGATCACTTTTGAATACTTTTGATAGCTAAATCATCGAACCAAATGGGCCATATGTTCCATAGCTATCTTAAATATCCGGAGGCTATATGTTCATGGGATTTCATGGGTAACAGGATCACTTTCAAACACAGTCTGAAGCATCACTTTGATACCCGGTACCCTGGTGAATAGCTGGTGGATGGTGATTGCCTCAACCAAGTCACGGGGAAGCAACTCCGGCCGTAAAGACGCGCCGCAGTTGGCGTCGCTGCCCAGAGGTTTCCAGACGTGTTGCAGTCGCTGCCCAGCCAGCGAAAGATGCGACATATCCAAGGATAGGTATTCCTGAGGAAAGCGAGGGAAAGTATGGAAAATTCACCATCATTTATAGGGACTGTAAAAAAGATAGAACAGTATTAGTGCCGATGATTTTAGTGGGATTTTACGTTTATATCTCTCTGGGGTTTGCTACAACGTGGGGAAAATCATATCCATTTCTGAGATGATAAGCTGGGTTTTACTGCCAAGAGATGATGCTTATGACTCATGACCATCCCTTTTATGGCTGAAACTGGGATGGCATGATGGTTTATTACATGGTTATACAGTTCAACCCCTTTAATATCCTGTTATACCCCCAGAAAACATGCCATTATCTCCCACTAAATCTCCCCTGATACTCCCTGCTGAATAGTGGCTCCCTACAATAGTAACTCCTCAACTAGGATTATCCCACTTGTAATCATATCCCCATTATATCCTCATTATGTGGCCACCATGTCTGGATAGCACATATATAATAGTTCACCAACTCCAGAAAATCTCATGTTTGATGGTTACCCGAACATTTCATGAGTTGATCCATGATGTCGCAGTAAGGTCGTGAGAATTTCTGATTGTGATCCCATCATCTCCTCATAGTATCCAAAAATTTTACGTACCACCATTTTGTTGGTTGAGTCACCATTGTTCCGGTTTTTCTTCGCAGAGTTATGACAGTTATGATATGTTGTCCCTGTGGAAATCCCACTGATATCCCATGATTATCCCAATCGACCATGAAATGGAGGTGTCCTAAGTCATAGTGGCACCCCAAAAAATCCAAGTCATGGATGACCATGACTTAGTATTGGAACTGAAATGGCGGCTTGGGTATCACCATTTTAGGAAACCCCAAATATTCATTGAAAAAAATAAATCAATACTTCCGAGTCTCATCTTCCGCCAAAGCGGCCCACAGTCTAAAGAAGGCCTGGGCCGCGGTGCCGTATACTTTATTATGTCTATTTACCATCTGGTTATTTAACATAGCCATGGAAAATCCCCAAAATAAATGTGGAGGTTTCTAGCTGGGAAAATCATCTATTTCTATGGGCCATCTATACCATGGCTATGTTAGTCATAACCAGAGGGTATTTCTGCTGGACTATGCTGCTGGACTACTGCGCTAAGCCGGCAAACGTCGCCGCGCCCTGAACAATCCACCTATGAGACGTCAGAACCCTTATTGCTTGCCAGCTATCTGGGGAAACAAATAGAAAAAAAACACATCTTCAGCAAATCTAGAGAATGGGGATATAATTGGAATATGATGGTGATATGTTTTTAAACATATCGTGCGGCACCACCAGACATCCGCCAAGATACACGTTCCTGCTCTCCCCGCCATTGATCAGTCAGGGACCAGGGTAACTTCTCTTCGACCTGGAGAAGAAACATCAATTGGGGATATCCGAAACAGAAATTGGGAAAACATATTTAAAAAATATATAAAAAAATCCTCTATTTTCTCTCCAACTTAGGGATGTAAACAACCAATCATGGGAAAATATTGGGGATATATTCCCCAATTTCTCCAATAACATTCATCGATGGGGGGTTCATGAACCAACCAATCATAAAAATATTGATCTGCGTATCTTTAAGCGCAGTTTCACACAACTCCCGCAACTCTTGGGCCAGTCCGGTCTCTAAAATAAACCACCGCCATGGAACTTCTATGTTCCTAGCCAAGTTGTAAATTTGGGCACGTCTCAAGCTCTTTGCTCCCCCAAAACAGGAGGGAAAATAAGCACACAAAAAACACTTAAAACACATGAGTCGAAGCGCTTGTGGTTCCTTTGGGGCCATACAGGTAGGAGCCCTGTTTAGCCTCTGGTAATTTAACATAGCTATTGAAAATGGCCATTTATAGTGGATTTTCCCATTAAAAATTGTGATTTTCAATAGCTATGTTAAATTACCAGAGGGTAGCTTCTGTTCTCATTCCAATGTTGCGAGAGAATACCCTATTCCTCCCAGGATCGTGGCCTGTTCTTGGCAATCGACCGCCAGCTGCAAGCGCTTGCAGTAGGCGCTCCAGGCCGGGTAGTTGGGACATCGAAGCAGTACCTGGTGATCCACCCACAAACCATTCCAGTAACCCATTTTTTGCGGCCATTTTACAGTATTTCATCCCAAAAAGAGGGTATACCTTAGGGTATCAATAATAAACCATCATTGGTTTAGTTTTACTGTTTATGATATAGCTTTGCCAAGTGAACTGGGGAATTTACCTTGGATTGCAAAGTACATCGAACTGCTGTCTTGATCGGCTGGGAACAGATCTTTGCCCAAAGCAAGCCCCACATCTCCATGATGAAATCATCCCGGTCTCCAAAAATAGGCTGCAATGTGCGAACTGGCTGGTCTTTTTGAAGTCCCATGGATTCCCATCCCCTAAGTTACCAATCTTGGTATTGGATCTGTGGCCCTAAGAATCATATTCAATACTTTCCCCCGCCCCGTTTGGTATTGGATCTGTGGCCCTTAGGCCCCATCGGAGCACCAGGAAACGATCTCCAGCTTGCGGAGCAAAAGGTCCTCCGATTTCGATGTTGAGGTTACCAACAATAGGCGTATTGGAATAATATTGGCATAATTAGGTGTCTAACAGTTGTAATCCGCAAACCACATATATATATACTACACATTGTAACCATATGAACGGGGTGAATCATAATATTTCACTAATAGCTAAATATAATATGATATGGTATATATTATACCGATTTCATCACATCTATGATACACATTGTTGTTTACAAAATAGGATATCACTTTTTACCTTAGTATATACATCACCCCAGTATATACATCATACAGTATACATATACATAATTTACAATCAATTTACCCAGATATATTGTACTGCTAGCTCTATAGTTATGCCATTGCTCTAGTTGTGCCATACAATCCCTCGTCTCGCAGCAGTTCAGAGGAGGCCCGGTGCCTCGCCGGGCGGAGTTTGATCCACCGTAATTTTTTGATGGAATTGCATGAAAAATTGATATGTTTAGAGGTTTTAATTATGAAATTTCATGTTGTGCCTCTGAAATCCGAGAGTTCAATGTTTAAATTCCAGTTTTTTGTTGGCCGAATCATGTCAACTCCCATGTTGTTCTTCACAAATGCATGCTAAATTCGGCTAGATTCATGTAATTTCATCTGTTTGAGGAAAAATCCATGATTTACAGATCAGTGTCCCATTTCAACCTCCATTTACCCTCTGGTAATTTAACATAGCTATTGAAAATGGCCATAGAAATAGTGGATTTTCCCATGAAAAATGGTGATTTTCTATAGTTATGGGACAAATTACCAGAGGGTATCGTGGATTTTCCATTGCGGCTTCATCTCATTGCCGTCCCCAACGTGTCCCCGCCGTCCCCGGTGCCGAGCTGCTCAAGCGAGAGGCTGCGGCGCCGGTCGTAGGTGATGCCTAGCAGCGGTTCGTCCACCTGGCCCCCCTCGACGCGACGCAGGTAGACGAAGAGGCCACTGTCTCCTAGGCTGAAGATTTAACGCTACAGTATATATATATATATATAATGGTTACAATATATATATATATATATATATGTGTGTGATACATATATATATATATGTGGGGAGAATATGTATATGAAGATGTATATGTGGATAATAAACTATTAGATACTATTACTTGATGCAATGGTTGATGTAATGGTGATTTAACCAAATCATTTAAGCAATTAAACATAGTGGAGCTGGTTTGGAGAAGTCTAAAATGATAAGAGCTATGCACTCCATAAAATGAAACAAGGTGATCTGGTTGGTGGTGTCAGTGGTGTCAACCCCTCTGAAAAATCTTAGATTATTAGTCAGTTGGGATAACCAATATATGGAAATTCATAAAAATTCATGTTCCGAACCACCAACCAGTGATACAATCCCTTCCCCGTAATGGTGCTATAGCAGGGATATGGCTGGGTCATTTTATAGGGACTATCATGGGGATTTAACCACACAGTAGATTATACTATGGGTATAACATGTATCTAGATATAAAATTTATAGTATATATAACATATACTATCTATATAACATATACTATCTATATAACATATACTATCTATATAACATATACTATCTATATAACATGTATCTGATTGAAAACTTGATATAGTGGATTGGATTTATAATTACATGTAAATACCATATATAGAGTGGAGATGGGGATACGATGGATACGACGGGATGTCCCTGGACAAAATCTGGGGAATTGGGAATTTCTAGGTTCATCTTCAACCCCAAAGGTTCATCAGGATTAAATCTTTAAGTCCTATTTATGTTCAGTATTTTCCTGATTAAATAAAGTATTTTCCGACATGAATCCAGGTCTGTGTAATATCACACATCAAACATGGCAACGGAAAAAATACCCGATTTAGTTCGACGATTTTCCCAGTTCATTGCCCACATACATCTATTTAGTTCGAGGATTTTTCAGCCATATTTGATTACTGGAGGTTAACGGATTTAACCAAGCATCTCATGGGGATAGACTGATATGGAGGGAATTCATTTTCATGGGATATTGATGGATATTCTATGGGATAAATTGGTAATTGGTATCCTTTGGGATTGAAAATTTGATGCATATTTCAATCATAGGATTTGGATATCATGGACTTTCATGGGATTTTGAGATACCACGAATATCTAAAGCAGCGAAACTATGGGCTTGTTCAACCAACCATACATCCCATACACGACGCCAAGGCGTGGCCGGTTAGGGGTTTCTATGGGGATATTTCACGAACTAGTTGGGGGTCCTAAAGCAACAAACATCAATGGGGGCCCCATAGGGCCATATGTGTTTTCTACCTTCAAAAATCATTGCCCTGCACCAAATAAACAGTTGGACCCTGAAAATAGACACGAGAATGAAAGTAATCTTCCAGCCAATAAATGGCAGGGTTAATATTAATTTTGGGGAGTGTAGTTTCTACAAAAAATGGCTGAATCGAACCTGGAAAAAAATCAAAGAAGTCAGGTGGTTTGAAAATCTCGGCAGATGGATGGGTTCCCGGTCCTTTATGGGGAATATATCACTCAAGTTGGACGCTTTGTACCAACTTTTCACTGGGTTTGTTTGAAAAAAATGAATAAAAAAAACAAGGATTGATCATCATTCCCTTTCAACAACTTGCCATGTTTTCGGGGGGCAAACGATTGTATAAATCTCCATGTTCTGTGGGAAAAATGCGGGTTTAACCATTTAACCCATCGGATTCTCGCGGGTGATCGCCTTTTTTTCTGATCAAACTAGACATAAATTGAAAGGTAATTCCGGACCATATGGAGGTGTCCCAAAATGGGGGGTACCCCTAAATCATCCATTTCTAGCTGGGATTTTCCATTATAAACATTATAAAATATTGTAAACCATCCAGCTATTGGGTACCCACATTTAGGAAACCTCCATATCAATTAGAGTGGCTAAATCAACTTAAACACATTAAAAACTATAAATTACCAGATGCTATGATCAACTATTGGGTAAGGTTACCACTATAAATTACCGCTTACTTCACCACTATCCCAGCTGATCAGGTCCCATCCCAATCTCCCCATCCGCTGCGCAGCTCCGGCAGCTCCTGTGTTTCCCCAGCCTTGATCCATTCCTGTGGCGCTCAGGTGCAAGCTATTCACCAAAAGACCCTCAGGGACGGGCCTCGGAGCGATGTCCCGATTTGGTGGCATTGAAAATGCTGTTTCAATGGTGGTTTTTGATGGTGATTTAATGGCATTTTATGGTGTTTAATGGTGGTTTAGTGGGATTTGATGGTGGTTTAACTGGAAGAAACCAGCAAAATGGTGCTTGACCTGTAGCAATGTCTTGCATCGTTGCGGACGCCCATGTATATCCTTGTTTGGTGATTTACATAAAGGATTTGAATAATGATCGTCACGGTGGTCTAACAGGATTTGATGGGATGCTATGCTGACTAATGGGGACTTGACCCAAAAATGGGAAAGCCATGACCCACGAAAGGAGATGACTCGCATATTGTGGTCATGATGCTTGTACATAGCTATGTATCAAATTATCACATGGTATCGCTATCCAAATAGGGAATTACATTATTTAACCACGTATCAAGTATATGTTGGTATCATCATAGTGATCATCCAATAAGAACATACAAATATTGAATATCAAAGGACATCAAAATTAGAAGGTCAAATCTACATCAACAAATATGTATCATCATGATTCTGCTCCATCAGGACGTTCGCCATTTAAGTTTATGATAACATTGCCAGTCTTAGATACCTGGCAAACAATCTACTAATTTTAGCTGGTGAACGTGGATATTCCCATTGAAATCGCAAAAGATTATTGGGATTAGTTTCTACCCATGTACGGTTGACCTAGATAATTAAATCTATCTACGCACGATGCTGTTTTTTCTTGGGGACTCTTGCCAATTAAAACGCACGATTTCCGGGTCAACATGCAGCTTCACTCGGAGAAGAGGGTAGAGGCTGATCCCCCAGGCTGTAACTGAAATTTTACAAGCATCAGCCATGGGTCAAGTGGCCACTATTCACAGGCTCACAAATAAATACAAATGGGGGATGGTGAAAAACGATGTCAAACCCACGATTCTGTTGGGCAGCTCGCTCCCCATTTAAAAAAATATTCAAGTGACCCTTCCAGTTGCTATATTTACATGAAGTGCGTCCCGTGAATCAAAAGTCGTTAGTACACCCATTAGTCTAAGTGGAGGAAAATTGGGTGTATGAAAATTGGGTCCCCCTAAATCCACGCATCATCACTTTACCTATTTAAATTATTGTGTTGGCACCCACTTTCAGACTCTGTCAAATATGTTGTTGGATGTGCATGTTTCATTGATCATTGTATCACATGTAATCCCCATTAAACCATATCATAGTGTTCATGGTGAAATTCCTATCGCAGCTTTTAAAACCATCATTTCTCAGGATTTTGATGCCTAAATCCCATGTTCCATCATTTTTTTTTGGTTAGATCCCCAATTCTTTGGTCACATCACCAAGGGGAACTCAACCGAATCAGCCGGAACAAAACCAGCCAGGGCCCCAGGGGCTGACTCACCGCCATAGGCAGCAAGTAGTGACATCCTTCTCTGTCCTCGGTTTGGTGTAACGAGAGGAACCAATGACCTTCTGCATATTTGGAGCATATGTATAGTATATGCATTATATGTCAATATGTATATATATGTATATATATATACATAAATGCATTAAGTTTATGTGTATATGTATATGTGAATGTAAATTCAGAAGTATATGTATATGCATATGCATATGTATATGTATATGTATATGTATATGCATATGTATCTGTATATGTATATGTATATGTATA